ATTCTTCTCGCTCGCGTTCTTCTTAATCGAAGTCGTCTGCACCCTCTCAAGCCATTAAATCCATGGAATTCAAGCTTTCAAGCTTCTGCAATTGAAGTGTTTCTGAACACGATTTAGAATCTAGGGGTAGTGATTCAGGGATTTTTTGGGAAAAAGAGGTTTAATCAATTTCTCGGGATTGGTTTAGGATGTGTAATCGGGTCAATTATTGGTTTAGGATGTGTAATCGGATCATAATTAGGTTTATTATTGGTTTACTGTGGTTTATGGTTTTTTTCTCAAAACAGTAAACCGTCTTAAGTCATTGTTAACGGCTCGATTTTAATTTGGTGGAGATATAAGTTTTCAACTTTTAATTCGGGGATATCTAGATCTTTAACTTTCATTTGAGGGATATCTAGAAAGAGTGTATAGTTTGGGCTTCATCTGATGCTATATGATAGTTCTGGTGGGGAAATATATCGTTTTCCCTAATTAAATAGACATTACTTTGAGAATAAAAAAAAACACTACTTTTCCGTTATAATGAAAAGACACAACCAAAAATTTTGAAATGACACAATTTACCGAAGTACAAGTGATATTTATTTGGATTGCTATTATTAAATTCTTGGCCAACAAGATTTATTCATTTAAAACTGAAAATATAAGACTGTTTTCGGTGTGGATTTGTCACCGATCACTACTATAGTAAGAAAGTAAAAATCAGACCCAAATATTTTTTGTATGTGATTTTGAGGCTATCAATGCAACTCTGGTGTGACTTATACCGAAAGTTCAAGGACCAACAATAGTGGCTGAGTATCGATCTATAGCGTTATGCAATGTCTACTACAAAGTCATATCTAAGCTACTCACCAAACGACTTCAACTGCTACTACCTGGGCTAATCTCTGAGAACCAATCTGTCTTTGTGCCAGGAAGAGCTATTTCAGATAACGTCCTGATAACTCATGAGGCCCTCCACTTCTTGAAAACGTCTTTTGCTGAGGTTCATTGCTCAATGGCAATTAAAACTGACATGAGCAAAGCGTATGACATATTAGAATGGAGCTTTATTAGAGGAGTTTTTGAAAGATTGGGCTTTCATAATAAGTGGACTAATTGGATTATGCAATGTGTGACTACTGTCTCATATTTGTTCCTGATAAATGGAGCTCCTTATGGAAACATTTGCCCAGAGCGTGGAATCAGGCAAGGCGATCCACAATCACCATACATCTTCATCCTCTGCAGTGAGGTACTGTCGGGTCTCTGCCTCCAAGCCCAAAGAAATGGAAAGCTGAAGGGAATGTCCATCGCAAAAGAATGCCCTCGGATCAACCACCTCCTGTTTGTTGATGATACGATGTTTTTCTGCCAAGCAAACAAGAGGAATAGTCAAGAACTCAAGACAATACTCGCAAAGTATGAAAAGGCCTCAGGAAAATTTATAAATAAAGCTAAATCTGCTGTTACTTTCTCGCATAAAGCTCCTAGCGAACTAAGAGAAAGAATCAAACAAGAGCTGGCTATTACAAAAAAGGGAGGGGTCGGCAAATATCTTGGTTTACCTGAACACTTCAGCAGGAAAAATAGGGACCTCTTCGTGGGAATAGTAGACAGAGTCCGGCAAAATTCAATCATCTGGTCTTCGAAACTTCTGTCCCCAGCAGGGAAGATGACCAGGCTCAAAAGTGTCCTCTCCTCTATGCCTTCCTACGCCATGACCTGCTTCAAACTTCCAGTGTCCCTTTGCAAGCACATTCAATCCACCCTTGTTCACTTCTAGTGGGATACAAATCAAGAAGAGAGGAAAATGGCCTGGGTTGCTTGGGATAAAATAACATAAGCAAAAGAAGTTGGAGGATTAGGCTTCCAAGATATACCTTGCCTCAATGACGCTTTTCATGCAAAACTGAGCTGGAGGCTCCACACTAACCCGCAGTGTCTTCTGGCACGTGTCTGCTTTGGCAAATACTGTCAGGATGCACCTTTCATGGAATGTATAAAACCGCCAGGGGCTTCACATGGTTGGGCTGGCATTCTTCTGGGACAAGACTTGCTTATAAAGCAAATGGGATGGATAATTGGAAATGGCGAGTCCATTAATATCTGGCGCGACCCGTGGATCTCACTGAACCAAAAAATTTCCCCAACGGGCCCTGCCTCCGACAGTACTTCACAGCTTCGGGTTGCGGATCTGTTTCTCTCTAACACTACAATATGGGACGTCACTCGCATCTCTGAGCTTCTTCCGGCTCACGCTACAGATATTTTGAGCCTAAAACCAAACAAAACAAGGATTGCAGACAAATTAGTTTGGCTAAAAACTAAACCAGGCATCTATACTAGAAAAATAAGCTACTTCTCAGCCCTACAAGACAAGGGACTTTCGGTGGATATCTGAGGTTTGGACAGTCAAAACCTCACCAAAGCTCCAAATGTTCTTATGGAAAGCTGCAAAAGGAGCGCTCCCGGTTGGCGAACGACTTGCAGCAAGAAAAATCTCTCTAAATCCGGAATGTATTAGATGCGGAGAGCTTGAAACCATCCCACATGTCCTCCTACATTGCCCCTTTGCGGTGAGGGTATGGGAGAGAGCTCCTTTCAGTATCCATGTCTCACCAGATCAGGAGTGGACCTTTGTAACTGCATGGACCAATCTGCGAAAACTTACTAGCCTTCCTCCACACAACAACACGAATACTCCTTTGGCCTCGTGGATTCTCTGGAACATATGGATAGTGAGAAACAACCTAATCTTTAGTAACAAGGAGTACAAGAGTGAAGAGATGCTCAACAAAGCAATCCTAGATGCAGTAGAATGGAATTCAGCACAAAAATATCTAGAGGAAAAGATGATCCCAAGTGCCATGCGAATCAAAGAGAAACCTACAAATGTTACTTGCATTACCTGTAGAACAGATGCGGCGTGGAAAGGAGACTGTATGACTGCTGGTTTGGGCTGGGAGTTCATAGAAGGAGAAAATCGCCAAAAATTTCACATCTCTGATGTGGTTCGTTTCGTCCGGTCCCCTTTGATGGGAGAAGCTTTGGCTATTCAAGCAGCCTTAGAAGACGCAATACAACGAGGTTTCACCAGAATCAGGCTGGAATCGGATTTTGACCAAGTCATCAAAGCCTTGATGTCGGCGAGTTGTTTCTCGGAATTGTATGGAGTCATCTCCGATATCCGATCACTTTTCTTAGCTTTTGATTTTATGTTTTTTTCTTTCATCAAAAGAGAAGAGAACACTCTAACAGATTGGTTGGCAAAACAGGCTTTAATTCTATTTGTCCAAAGCCCAGTTTAAGATTTCAATAAAGAAAATTAGAATTTGACCCAAAAAGAAGAAGAAAAAAATCCATACAAATAAGATGATTATCATTTAGAGTTTATAATTAAATTTAAATATCATGAAATTTTTCTTTTTTCATCTTTTTATAAATTTTATCTTTTGAATTGAAGTATATTTTATATGAGCTGATTTTGTATTAAAAATCTATATTATTTTTTATATTTTATGTTAAAGATTTGTAATTTTTTATATTTCAGCATTATGTCAAAAATATATGTTTAGTTTGTAATCTTTGTTTATATTGATATATTAATATTAAAATTTAATAGAACTATTTTTTTTGTATGTATCAAAACTTTATTGATGAATTTAAAAAATATCACAATTAGGTTAATTATTATATCTGAAATATTAAACTATATATAATAAAATAATATAACATGCATACACTTGTAAAAATTCATTTTTGAAATCACTTTCTTATTTTGAAAATTAAAATCATTTTTGAAAACACATTACATTCACAAGTCTTAAAAAATATGATTGGCAATTATTGATCATCCATGGTCCTTACAAGTAGGCCTGGATACGGAGCGGATATCCGAAATTTTAGTGATATCCGTGATCCGCTCCGTCCAGTCCGGATTAACAATTTTTTGATCCGTTGCTAATCGAATATCCGGTATTCAGATATCCGTTAAAATCCGGATTTTTGACCGGATATTCGATCCATTTCAAAAATATTAAATTAATTATAAAATAATTAAAAATATTTATAAAAATAATTAAAAAGTCAAAAATTAACTCATATATTAAATTTTAAATTGTTATTTTTAAATTTATTTAATTTTTGTATTAAAATAACTAATAAAATAAATATAAATTCACAAAAATTATATATAACTATATTAACTATACATTATATATGTAATTATTTATATATATACACATATATATGTATATTGGAGCGGATCGGATATCCGACTCTTAAAATTTTAATATTTGTGATTAGCTCCGTTTTTAACGGATATCAAAATTTAGTATTTGCTTTGCTCCGTAAAGCTATAAGTATACGGATTTTTTGAATTGAATCAAAGCAAATAGCGGATCGAATCAAATATAACGGATAATTTGTCCAGCCCTACCTACAAGACTGGTGTACCCAGAAACAAATTAAATGAGTTTGGTAAGGTCGTTTTGATACACTAGATATATAGTTGAGTTGGCAAATTTATTAACATTTTCCTTTCTACTTCGACTTGACCCTCAACGAAATGCCAGCCTTATATGTTGATCATATCTCTCCCCTTAATTTTCAATCACACATTTACCCTTCAAAGTTCAAACCATAGGGTTTTCTGTGACTCGTGACGATACCTGTTTTTTGCTATATATATATATATATATACACACAAACATACAAACACACAGCAAATGTTAAGAAACAAATCTAATCAATAAAAAACATTTTTGTTTTTGTTTTTTTCTTCTCTCTCTCTCTCTGAATACACAAGTTTTCGGCAGATCAACTGTCTTCTGTCACTCCGAATCCTTATACGTGTTCATCAATGGCGTGTTTGTCAAACCCATGATTCAAAAAAACCTTTTTTGATTCCATTTGTTACGAATCTCGCCTTATACCCACTCGTGCGCGTTCACAAAAACTCTGTTTCCGAGGAAAGTTAACTCTTTTTTTCCAGTTTTGTTAAGAGATCCGCCATGGAAGCTAAAGAACCCGTCAATGGAGGATCCGTACAGATCCGAACGGAGACACGAAAGCTTCCGAATTTCTTACAGAGCGTGAACATGAAATACGTCAAGCTAGGGTACCATTACCTGATTACTCATCTGTTCAAGCTCTGTTTGGTTCCTTTAATAGCGGTTTTAATCACAGAGATCTCTCGATTGACCCCAGACGATCTCTACCATCTCTGGCTCCACCTCCAATACAATCTCGTCGCCTTCATCCTCCTCTCCGCTCTAGCCGTTTTCGGCTCCACCGTCTTCATCATGACCCGACCCAGATCCGTTTACCTCGTCGATTACTCCTGTTATCTCCCTCCGGCGAGTCTCCAAGTGAAATACCAGAAATTCATGGACCACTCAAAGCTAATCGAGGAATTCAACGATTCCTCTCTCGAGTTTCAGAGGAAGATTCTGGAGAGATCGGGTTTAGGAGAAGAGACTTATCTCCCTGAGGCTCTACATTCCATCCCGCCGCGTCCGACGATGGTGGCGGCGCGTGAGGAAGCCGAGCAGGTAATGTTTGGTTCACTCGACAAACTATTCGAGAACACAAAGATTAACCCTAGGGACATTGGTGTGTTGGTAGTGAATTGCAGCTTGTTTAATCCGACTCCTTCTTTATCCGCCATGATTGTTAACAAGTATAAGCTTAGGGGAAACGTTAAAAGTTTCAATCTTGGTGGGATGGGATGTAGTGCTGGTGTCATCGCCATTGATTTAGCTAAAGACATGTTGCAAGTCCATAGGAACACTTATGCTGTTGTGGTTAGCACTGAGAACATCACTCAGAACTGGTATTTCGGGAACAGAAAGGCGATGCTGATCCCGAACTGCTTGTTTCGTGTCGGTGGAACCGCGGTTTTGCTCTCGAACAAGCCTAGGGATCGTAGAAGGTCTAAGTACAAGATGGTTCACACGGTTAGGACTCATAAAGGAGCTGATGAGAAGGCTTTTAACTGTGTTTATCAAGAACAGGACGAGAATGGGAAAACCGGAGTTTCTTTGTCCAAAGATCTCATGGCTATAGCAGGGGAAGCTCTTAAGGCGAACATCACTACTTTAGGTCCTTTGGTTCTTCCGATAAGCGAGCAGATTCTGTTTTTCGCAACTTTGGTCGCGAAGAAGCTGTTCAATGCTAAGCTCAAGCCTTACATTCCGGATTTCAAGCTTGCTTTCGACCATTTCTGTATCCATGCTGGTGGTAGAGCTGTGATCGATGAGCTCGAGAAGAATCTGCAGCTTTCGCAGAGACATGTCGAGGCATCGAGGATGACATTGCACAGGTTCGGAAACACTTCCTCGAGCTCGATATGGTATGAGCTGGCTTACATTGAGGCTAAAGGAAGGATGAAGAAAGGGAACAGAGTTTGGCAGATTGCTTTTGGAAGTGGGTTTAAGTGTAACAGTGCGGTTTGGGTGGCTCTGCACAATGTCAAGCCTTCGGTTAGTAGTCCGTGGGAACACTGCATCGACCGATATCCGGTTAAGCTTGATCACTGATTCAATAAATAAAAAAACCATTGTTTTGGTATCATCAACGTGGTTAGTCCTAGTCTACATTACTTTGCCTTTGTTTAATGTCTTTGTTTTTTGTTTTTTTTTTTCAATGGTTGTTCTTGTACTTTGAATGTGATACTTCTTGGATAATTTCCCGCAAGTTGTGTTCTATGGCATCTCGAATCGATTTAGCACAAGCCTCATCATCAGATTAGGTCATATCAAAAAAATTGCCTTAACATCTCATGGTAATGAAATATCTTAGATTCATGACAAAGTAATGTTTTTTGACCAAAGAGTCAGCAATAAGGTAAACTTATTACAAACGGTAATTATATAAATAATTAGAGAGAAAGAGGTAGGATGATAATGTTTGGGGATTTATTTAAAAGATTAGGTATATAATTTGTGCTATGCGCGAGTTTATATTAATATTTTAGTTTAATTGTTTTTAGCTACTATTTTCAAAATTATCAAAAACTAATATATTTATAAAAAATTTTATTTACATGAGAGAATGTGTCATTTATCCTATTTTATTTATAAATTTTTAAAAATTATTAGATAAAATAATAACAATGACATCTATCGAATTGTCCAATTTTGACGTATATATACATTTGATTTAGAGAAATATTTTTTTGCTAAGATTTTGGTATTATTTTCTGTTTTCCATAGAATTTCTATAGTTCATTTTTTCTTGAAGGTTTATATGTTCCAATATTTAGTTTTTTTATTGAAAGTCTTATTGATGTTGTGTACCACTGCATATATAATTCATGATTCATGTTGATTCATATTTAATTTTGTTAGAAAGCTGTAATGAACATGCAAAACCATTTTTTCCTTCTCCACCATGTCTTCCAAGAGTTTTATGTTATATTTTTATTCAGTTTTCATTGTTTTAATTGTTAAATCGAGTTGTTGTAGATTTTTTAAAATTGATAATTGATAACAGTTACTTTTTTTTTATATACATGTATTGTTAATTGTTAATTTTTTTATTTAACTTTTAAAATTTTAAACTATATTAGCAATTTCTGATTTAATAAATATATTAATTAGGATCAATCAGATTGACTTTACTTTTTTTGTTGGACATAATTTGTTAAATTAACTTTTAATGTTTTAATTATACTTAACAATTTTTAGTTTGATTAAAAAGATGATATGGACCAATTAAATCAAGTTTTTCCGTCCTAATCATACTTAACATTTTTTATTTAATGAATATGCTGATATGAACCAATCAGATCAAGTTTTTAAATCCCATGTGGACGCCCTCAATGCACTATGCCATCAAATTTTATATATTATAGACTAGGCTTTTAACTAACGCTACACGCTAGTCTGTACTAATAATTTGGTTTAATTTTTTGGCTAATATCTTTTAAATTATCAAAACTATAATATATTTATAGAAAATTTTCTTTTATATAAAAAAATTAAAACATAATATGTAGTATTTCCTATTTTTGTTTATAAAATTATAAATCTTATTAAGTAAAATCATAGTAATGACACATTGACACCTAACGAATTATCCAACTTCGATGTGCATATGTTTGATTTAAAAACTGATTTCCTTACTAAATTTTTGGTGTTTTGTTTTGTATCCTTAGGATTTATATGGTTCTCTTTTTAAAAAGGTTTATATGTTTAAATATTTAATTTCTTTACTAAATAGCTCACTAATGTTATGTACATATACATATATAATATATGATATATGTTGATTCAGATTTACTTTTGTTAGTAAGCTATACTAATCGTGTAAAGCTGCTTTTTGCATCTCTACCAGATCTTCTACGAATTTTAGGTTATATCTCTATACAGTTTATAAGATCTGTTTTATTTGCAGTCAACTATTTGCTAATATTTGTTTTTAAACATGTAAGATGATGTTGAGAGTTCACATTATTACTGTCTTTTTCTATCTTTTGTGTGTTTATTCATGTTTTGATTTGAATATTTTATCTTCATATATTCCCATTTGAATTTGATTCATAACTTTGTCATATTATATTATTTATATAAAATTTAGAGGATGTTGCTCATGTGTTGTTCATGTTGACTAAGTTATAAGCAGTAAATATGTATACAAATCAGACTTTATTATTTATTATATTTTGAATGTAAAGTTACTTGTGTAGTATTTTACTTTGTTAATTTTTCAACCAGACTCAATCAAGGTATTAATCTTTGTAAATTTAAATAATATGTTTGATTTAGAAACTTGTATAACCTATTAAAACTTTATATGGTTATTCATAGTCAACACCAATATCTTAGAAATCATGAATGTTTTTGGAACTATATTTCAAACTAATTTTCTTCTTAGTTTTTGTATTTTGCTATTTTAAATATCTTCGATGGTAATTTTATATTTTATTTTAATTATCTAATTTTCTGCAGGTTTGATATACTTACAGCATATATATTTTTAATTAATCTCTTTTGTTATTGATTTTTCAAATAGGTAGCATATATATTATTCTAATATCTTTTACATAAATACTTTTTCTTTGTTAAATTTACTTTTAAATTATTTAAAATGCTATTTTGACATGCTATAACTGGCTATTCTAAAAATTAGGTGAACTTCTCTCAAAGCTTATACCATCATTTGCTTTTTTAAGTTAATATTTGTTTGGTGGTTAGCCTAAATATCAAGCTAATTTTACTTTATACAACTTTTTCCTTTGATAATTTACCTCTCTTGATATTGATTTTTATTTTATTTTAACACACCATTATTTTAAAAATATTGATATTTTGAAGACATAAACATTTTGGTAGTTAAATATTTTTATATGAATTTTTTAAGTAGTTATTCAGATATCAAGTCAATATATTTTTAAGTATTTTAAAAAAAACAATATTTTGTAAAAATTAATTTTTGTTTTAGTTTTTAGTTAATTAATTTCTTAATATTGATTTTTTTGCTAATTAGCTTAAATGTTTATATTATTTTTGTTAGTTATGTTTTTTAGTATTATTTAAGTTTTTTTTTTGTTCTCTTACTTATTATGTTTATATTGATTTTGTTAAATAAATAACATAGATATTAAGTTAATATCCTCTTTTTTGTTAATTTAACTTTCTTGATATGAACTTTCATTTTAATTGTATTGACATGTTGTAAGAAATAATTTATGTTTTGGTTTTCGTTAGTTAATCATTTTTTATATTGCTTTCTTCAGTAATTAACATAAAGTTTCATTTCTGGTTTGTTAACATTTTTGTGTTAATTGTTTAAATATTTCCCCAAAAATTATAAGTTTTAGATGACTTTCTTTTTTGATAATTTAAGATAAATGTTTTTTTGGTAGTATTGATATTTTTAAATAAAAAATTTATATGTTTATATGAAAATTTAATCATAATATTTTTTCTAAATAAATTACTCATTTAAAATATATATGCTAATTTGTTTTTTAGTTTAACTTTTTCGTTATTGATTTGCATATTTTTTTTTGTTAGTTTAGTTTTTGTGACAATGAGTTTCCATTTTATTTTCACATAGATTTAGACTTTTGATATAAATTTACTTTATTTAGTTAAAAAATTCTCTTAATTTTCCATTCTATTGTGATAATTTTATATTTTTATATGTTTTAATTTATTTAAATTACTAATAATATTTTTAATTTTTTATGTTTAATAAAAAATGCTGATATAGACTAATCATATTGAGTATATATGTCGTATGTGGACGTTCTAATTGGCCTAAGACATCAACACGGACCACAACTAATATGTTTTAAGTTAGCAGTGCAGATTTTAATTGTTTGTCGTGATTAAAATTTTAAAATAATTTAATTATGATTTTAGATACAGTTTTTAATAATTTTGTTCAATATATATTATTTGGTCTTTCATAATCTATTTATATGTTAATTTACCTTTTTATTGTTAATAGAAAAATAAGATCTATTTTCAAAACTCTTTTTTATTAATAACTAACTTAAAATTTAGAAACTTTCTTAATAACAATAAAAACAAAATTAATTAAAATTTAGTAATTTTCCTTATAACAATTAAAATGAATTAATTAATTTTAATATACAAAATATAATTAACTAAAAATAATGATGATGTGTACCAATGGAATTGAATCTTTAAATCCTATGTGGACACTCTTAGAGGCATTTAGCATCAAATTTTATTAGTAACTAGGCTTTTAACTCGCGCTACGCGCGAGTCTATATTAATAATTTGGTTTAATTTTTTTGTCTAATATCTTTTAAATTATCAAAACAATAATATATTTATAGAAATTTTCTTTTATATAAACAATTAAAAGATAATATGTAGTATTTCCTATTTTTGTTTATAAAATTATAAATCTTCTTAAGTAAAATCATAGTAATGACACCTAACGAATTATCCAACTTCGATGTGCATATGTTTGATTTAAAAAATGATTTTCTTACTAAATTTTTGGTGGTTTGTTTTGTATCCTTAAGATTTCTATGGTTCTTAATTTTAAAAGGTGTATATGTTTAAATATTTATTTTCTTTACTAAATGTCTCACTAATATTGTGTACATATACACATATAATATATGATATATGTTGATTCAGATTTACTTTTGTTAGTAAGCTACACTAATCGTGTAAAGCTGCTTTTTGCTTCTCCACAAGAGCTTCTACGAATTTAGGTTATATACCTATTCAGTTTATAAGATCTGTTTTATTTGCAGTCAACGATTTGCTAATATTTGTTTTTAAACATGTAAGATGATGTTGAGACTTCACATTATCACTGTTTTGTTTTATCTTTTGTGTGTTTATTCATGTTTTGATTTAAATATTTTATCTTCATATATTCCCATTTGAATTTGATTCATAACTTTGTCATATTATTTTATTTAAATATAATTTTAGAGGATGTTGCTCATGTGTTGTTCATGTTGACTAAGTTATAAGCAGTAAATATGTATACAAATCAAACTTTATTACTTATTATATTTTGAATGTAAAGTTATTTGTGCAGTATT